GTGGACACATTGTGATTCCCAAGTCGGTAACAAAATCAAGGATCCAAGAAAACTTCGACATTTTCGATTTCGAATTAAGTCCCAAAGATATGGAGGCAGTAGATAATCTGAATCGTAATAGAAGAGTTTGCTTCAAACGGTCTGGGTAATTAATTAAAAAATACTTCGTTAGAAGGATTATTATTAATTGGATTAGAACTTTAACATCTTATAATTCTCTACTTGCTTTTATTTTAGAACGATACAAAATCACAAATACTTCCCTTATAAAACAGAAGATTAAGATTGTGTAAAAAGAAACAGGATAAAATATATATTTGTTTAATCTGGTAAACTTTTATGTACTATATCTCCCTAATCTAATCCTACCGTAATAAAAAAGGGAATAATTTATTATACTTACGAGTTAATTGCACTGACACAATGGAGATTCGTCACTGTCTTCGCAACCACACTCGCAACACTCGCAAAAATCTTCTTCGCTATTACTGTCTTCGCAAAATCGTCTGGCACCAGTTGGATGATACTCTTCCGAAGGATCCAGCGGTTCATCGCTGCAATTGCACAGTGCATCTGACATTCCAAGGGCGCATTTACCTTTGCAATTGCATCTGCAGTTGTTGATCGGGCGGCAAGACAACGAAGGACATATTTCACAAGGTCCTCTGAGATCGCAGGGTATTGAAAACGGTTTGCACCCCAATTGAATACCTGGGTGTTTCAATTACATTCACTTCACGTTAATTTCTACTCTGAATTTAATGCACAAGTCATTGCAATACATACCATGATCCTTCATTTTACATTGTGGTAGCTGACATAACGGTTGTCTCGATGGGAAACCTTTGCAAGGTTTATTGCACGGTGGCATATATTTCCCGTGAGACTTTTTTAAAGCACACTGCAGGTCTTGAGGAGAAAAACAAAGACGAGAACATTGAGCGGATTGTGTTTTCAATTTCAACGGTTTATCGATACTCTTTTTCTCCTTCTTCGGTACTTTTTTAACGATAGACGATTGCATTGGTGGACTACTTGAACCTGTAACTGTTCTCTCAATCTTCTGCAATATTTTACGATATGTACGTCATTAAATAGTTGTTTACCGAAATAAAATGAATTTTTTTACATTATTCTATATTTACGTTATCATCATTCGATAACGTGGATGGATATTCGCTTCTCGCCTGAGGTAGAACCTGGTCCGAGTTGTGATTATTGTTCCACCAATTCGGTATCCACAAGGACTTCTTCTCCACCATTTCTCCAGACAATTCCGAAAGAGTTTCTTGATCCCTTTTTTTAACCATATTTTGCTCCGAAGTGGAAACCACTGCGTCACTCTGTATATGCGTAAAAATAAATTAACATATTACTCGATATCCGTTTAAACATATATAATATTCACTAACAACGCCGATTTCTTCCAGTTCCTGTTTCTTCTTCTGTCGATAATTACTACTACGCTTGTGCGACAAACATTTTTTGGGCATGCAACACGATTTCTTCCCACTGCATTCCAAATCCTGAAGACAGCTGATCATTTTCCTCCTGACGCTGATATTCTGATACTCTTTAGACGTTAACAATTTATCCATATGCTCCTTAAAGATCGTCTCCTTCTGCTCCAACTCTTTGATACAACTCTTCAAGCTTAACTCCTCCTCGGCCAATTGGCGAATTTTCGACAGACATAACAAATCCTCGGAGTGTATAGAATGAAGACTCGGCGTTGTATAATTCCGCACCTCTTTCTCTAAATTATTCAAAGTGTCGTTCATCTCTTTGTTCGCAAGTTCCAGGGACTCCAACTCCATTTCCGTTTCTTCCAATTTCACATCAGCTTGAATGATCTTCTCCTGCAGTTCAAGAATTGCATGTACTTTTGTTCGATGTTATCATCCAAGTGAATGAAATAAAAAAAAAGAAAAGAAAAAGGAATTACATAGTTAATAATGGTACGTGAGAATTCGCAACGAGCGCAAAAGATTCAACAAGCACACTGTGGCAACGATTTACCCGAATTAATCGCCGAATTTCAATCGTTCCGTACATGCAACTCCTCTGTCTCCCCGTCAAACTCCTTCACGGTCTTCTTCAAGCTGTGAAGAAGCTTCTCTGTCTGGTCCGGATGAGGAGAGAACCTCTTCATGATCTCGCGAATCTTACAATACGGCGCGTCCTCGCATTTTTTCGCCATCCACATGTTGTACGCTATTAATGCTGGAATCGATCGTTCCATCGTCGTGATCTTCTCACGCAGATACTTATGTCTACCCTGAAGATCGCAACGTCGCTCTTCCATCTTCGTCGTGATGTCCTCGAAGTACGGTGAGCACTGATCGTTCGATTTTACATCCGACTTGGGACCTAAAAATTCGAACGAAGAAAAAAAATTCATTGATTGTACTTTATCGAGAGGATATCTTGTTTTGTGATACAACGAAGCATATTTATTTTAAATGTTGTACACCTACATTTACATCGAGACATCTTGTTTTTTTTTCTTTCGAATCGTAGTTTTACTCTTTAAAAATTTTTTTATCACTCTGGAGTGTTTCAAGGATACACGCACTGATATCGTGCGTGAAATAGGTTATTAGAATCTTTGCTTCGTCGAAATTTTTCTCCAGTGCGTTATCTTGTTCTATTTAAAAAAGCAATAAATTATGATCGAATTTCTTTGACGACATTATCTTCGAAATTTTGACACGAACGAACGAATGGTAATTTTTGATTAGCTGTTGACAGGTTTCAAGTAGAATAATACGCCTCTGTTGTTGAATCGGTGTTTTCTAATCGGACATGCACCGATTGAAATTAGCAACGACACTGTTTCTTGAGAGAAAAACTATCGAACATGATCGTACGTTTTTTCTATTATCCATGATCACAATCATCTTACGCGCAAAAGAAATTCGACATGCATTAACGTAACTTTCTGTCAATCGCTCAAAATGTATTAAGTCCCTTTCAAGCCGAAAATTAGTTGAAAAAGTAGAAAAAGAACATTATTGAATTATTTGAAATCTGGAGCAGATCGAAGTGAATAGTAAGGTTGCCTCTCGACTTAGTCAAGAGTGAGTAAAAATCGTCAAATTAGATTTGTAAAAATGAATATATATGTAAGAAAAACGATTGTACAAATAAACGAACGAATTTGCACTTAATAGAAGAACGGAAAATTTGACTAGTCGTGATACGGACGACGACAAATGCTCTCTGTTATCCGGAACTAGTACATCTCTTCAGGACAGCACCGGAAGTACACTTACTGGCTCGATTAGAGCTAACTACGAACGTAATCTCGAGGATCGTGTATTGTATGGACAGAGCGGGGGGCGCAAGTTTAGCTATAAGAAAAGAAAGACTTGCAGCGGAAATGGAATATTTAATGCTCCTCCAGGCGTCAGCCCCCATCACGTTAAATCATCAATTATTCGTCGCAATACAAGTTCGTCTCGTGAACTCGATACATGCATACACTATACTCATGTTTTAATCGTGTATATTCTTTTTATAATATGGTATATAGAATAATTACAGTAAGAAAAATAACTGCTTTTTTCTAACAGATGGATCACGATTAATTTTCGTGTGGCCACAAAAACCACCCAGAAGTAGATTGTTAAGAATCTTAGCTCCTCTAATGCACGGCATTCTCGTTGGATTTTTATTCATGGATGCTGTTCATCTTTGGCCAGGAGAATTTTTACCCACGTCGTTGCCTTCTATAATGCCCGTTCCTTTACCACCTGTAAAATGTAACGTGATTGAACCACGTTGGTTTGATAATAGTTGATTATTATAACCCTTTCACTAATTCCTTGCACTGAAAAATACAATACTTTTAAAGACAATAAAGAAATTGTAAAAAGATATGTAAAACATTAAAATAAATATAAAGGAAATATATACAAGACACGAAATCAAATGAACAATTAATGATTCTCTATGGTTAATATTACTATAAGTTTGTTTTTCAAAAGTCAATAAACATTGATCTATAAGTGTGTGACTGCGAGTGCATCATAGTGTTTGAGAAAGCAGCGTACACGAAGTGTACTTTCATCTATAAAAATGTCAAACAAGAATTTGTTTATGAAGTTCGGGTATTTGCGTGCACCCTTTGCTCTAGGTATTGGTCGTTATGTATGTCAGTTGCAGAGAATAACTATAAAATTCTGTAAAAGTCACGGTGGTAGCTTGGGAGTTAGGTAATGTGCTTTAATTTCCTAACCTCTTTTTCAAGAGTAGATTATACTATTGCACGCATACTAATTGCATTGCTGAAAAATAATTATGAATTTTTCTTGTAATTAATATTCCTTACGTTAGTATATTTCATTTATTTTTTCCCTTTTATTTTACATTATTTTTCTTTCACGGTTCACATAACCTGTTATCTGTTTTATTTATATACAAAAATATAATATATTTTTTACTGTATGTAGGCATTTTTTGGAAAACGATTTAATTAATTACGCGAAAGAAAATCCTGGAGTTGTAGTATATGTTAAACCAAGAAGACACAGGAATCCAATTATAAAAGCAGAATATTGTAAGTTGAATGTTGTTTTTATAAAAATAAGATTTATGTATTAAAAAGTAATATTCAAATATTTATGTATATTGTAGTAAATGGAGAAGTACATTGGATGTGTGTTGGCAATTATTCCAGAGAGGATGTTATACAATGGATGGAATTAATGAAAACACAATATCATAATGGTTCAGAATACAGATTGCTCAGAATGTGGCATACAGATTTTCCTAGTATTCAAGAACCTTGGTCACCTTATACTTTTAAAGATCCAGCTTTCAATACAGCTAAATTGCCAGATGTAAATATCAAATTCTTTTTCAGTAAATATTTCTTCATATTCCTTGTGTGCTTTATATACTCTCCATTTTTAGAAAAAGCTTGGTGAATATGTTAAGTTAGAACCTACAGCAACAGAACAGTTGATTAATTTATTCAAGGACCAACAAAAAGCTGCCAAACTTCAAGAAGAAGATGAAATTCAAGGAACAGTTGGTTAAAAAATAGTTTCAAGCATTCTTTATACTTTATTGTAAAGAAATAAATAGTATACAAAAATAAAATTTTGAAATTTGAATCAATACTATATTTTTTCAAAATAATATTTGTTTCTTTTATTTTTGTAATATTACAAAAACCTAACAAATGGATTCGTTAAATATCCAAATAGAAACTTCTATGTACATATACTAAATAATCATCTGTATCATGTAATGATTGTAAGATTGTGATTATTATAAAATAAATATACATAAATAGCTTACATGTTTACTTGTATCATCTAGTGGTGCATTTAAACATTCTGCATACTATTCAGATGAAATGAATGTACTTATGTAAATTACCAAATATAAAGTATAATCCTGGTAGGAAGATTACACAGCAATTAAATATAATCATTCATTTGTGCTCTATCTTTCTGTGAAGTAAGTATATCAGTGACTAGCATATAGTATGTACAATACTTTTGATATCTGATAGAAGCAGAATTACGATTGAAGTTGCATCTACATCGGTACATATCATTCTTAATATTTATGCTACTGCCAAACTTATATGACAGGTACATGTTATTTTTCTTCTACATTTTCGTTTATGTATTTTTCTATATTTTTGTAGCTAGATAAAAATGTATATTTCAATACTTTGTGTAAAAACTTGAACAATGACATCGCGTATAGCACCATAATTCTTAAACAAACGAATCTGTAAACTAGTTTCCAATATGAGCAATTCTATTCGCTCGACTAACAGTTTTACATTCTTAAATAAAATATATTGTTTTTATAACAGTTTTAAGTTTCTAAATCAATATGTAAACGTAATATATTTCGATTCTCAATGCAACTAATTAAGTTTTTTGCTTTTAGTAACGCACATTAACTTCATATACCAAATATAAGAATATACATACTCGACGAAATAGAATGTACAATTACCGATTTCACTAATTAATCATTAGTACTTCAATCAAAAAGCTGCTAATATAAAATATTAAAAACGTATTAAATATAATGTATAACATTAATTAAAATCCTTAATTCAAACATCAACCAGAACATGAATAAAATGTTCACAATATTTCATGAATGAAGTTTATGACTTCTTTTTGTAAAAATACAATGAACATGTATTTTAGCGATTTCTGCATGTCGACTTACGCACGTATTTTGACCATTTTTTAATTTTTGATATTAATTATAAAAATAGAAAATATCTAAAATATGCTCTTAATTAGACTGCAATGAATGGTGTTTTAAATAATTTTCAGGGAATGGGTACAGTAGCATAACCCCGATACATTCTAAGTTCATTCTCTCAGAAATACGAATAAATAGTTTATTTTTTTACACTACAACAGAGACAGTAGTATTTTTTCCTATCATTTTTACAAAAAGAAAAAAATGCAGTTTGTCCTACACAGTATCAGATGGACTTGAATCCATGTATCAAAGTAATGAGATAATGAGGTGACTAAAAATGTGAGAATACGAATAGGATGAGTTCGATGTTACATGCATTCATACACTCAAAAAACCACACATCATGACATACCGTTGCATATTAGACATTTCATTACGCATAAATAATAAATTTACAATGTCTCACTATAGAATCTTGTTATTAAAAAATTGACAAATGTGGTACCCGCAGTAAATTCAATTATAATACTAAAATAAATTTCGTACCATTTGTTATTTATCTAAAAGAAAATAGACACTAAATTCTGATGCGGTTGAAAATCCGATTTGTTTACACAGGTAAAAATTCTATTTACAAAAGTGAAATATTTCTATAGAAATTTATCAATTTTTCCATACATAATAAATAACGGAACAAAATGCAATGTACCATATTTGTAAAATTAAATAGATTAAATCATGCATACGAGTTATCTTTCCCTTTCTGTACAGATTGATATCCATAAAGAAGACAAAATAGTACATCAGGTAAAATATCCTCGGTTAAGCAAAATATCACACATTATATCGACCGTGAAAGTGAAACTAGAAGTAACTTAATTTATTCGGCTTTAAGTCGTTTACTAAATTCCTCCTGTTGCTTTTCCCGCCATTCTTTTTTTGGTTTCATTCTTTTAAGTTGGCCGTCCCTAAAGAATAATTCCATTAAATTAGTCTCTTATATAGCAAATAACATTTTTCCTATACAAAATTGACATACCATTGTAAATCGACCAATCCACCTTGCCTTGCTATCACAGACTTTACCCTATTCGCAAAATCAATAGCGCTCTCTCCCTCGTTTCTGTACATTGGCGGAAGATACCATACATCGCAAACTATAGCCCAACTCGACATGGTCATGTACAAGTATTGTATCATTGAATACCGACTACTATTCCAGAACGCATCTCCAAATCTTGGATCATACTAAATAATATGACAACATAAATGGAACTGCTCTATAAAGATTGTGTTACATGTATATGCGCATAATTACCTTTATTGCAACAGGATAAATAACACCACCAATTTCGAAACTTCCTTTTTTAAATTGCATAACTGATGTATTATTTATACAAGTTCCTTCAGGAAAAATAAGTATCGGTGGATTCGTGGGATCAGACACGTGTTTTTTTAATCTATAAAAGATACAAAAAAGAAAATAAAACTATATTCCAAGTGGACTAACTGTATTCTTAAGAAATATTTCTTATTCACCGTTTCGTAACTGCTTCCCTGTCTTTAACTTCTGATCTTTCAAACCAAATATGTGGCGAGGCACGTGCTAAGGCTCTTTGTAAAATGCCTAAGAATCCGCCGTGCCTCTGACCTATCTGAAATAATATTTACTAATGAACAGTATAAATTATCTTTAATATTATACCAGAGCAATATATTTTTTCCAGCAAAACCCAAAGGACATTAAAACAATGACACATAACTAATATAAAGCACCCATAAAAAGTATTCATAAAAAAATCATTTAATAAAGTAAATAATGCAATAATTCCCAGCATATCAGGACGTAAACAACAAGAACATACCAAGGAATAACAATTATCGCACATGAGTACCAGAACGTCTATTGGAGAAGTGTGATTAGCCACACATATTCCTCTAACAGGTCGATTTTCTGGATTATGATAGGTAATTACTGAAGACAGAGCACTGGACAATACCCCGAAGCACATTATGGAGACTTTGTAATTCAGCCATCGTTTGAAACTACCCTCTGGAACGTAGCCCACAACTGCTGTACATACTGTCAGCCACATCACCTGTAAACCATAAGCTATGCACCTGAGAAACGATGATTCCCTTCTGTATCGTTCCTGAGTAGTTTACACCTGCAAAGCAAAGTTACAGGATACTGTTACCTGTAACATTTACTAATGCATTTCAACTTTGTCAGTAGGTAATTATAAAGCCGTACCATTACGGCGATACATTATTTCGTGGGGAAGGGGTGGGGAGTTGCAGCCATCGGCATTTATTCGTAAGCGTTAAACAATCCTCTATTGTTCTATGACCCATGTAATTGAGAAAAATAAAATAATATCCCCACATAAACATTCCATTAGTACCAGACAGAAAGTAGACGTCGCAAAGAAATACCCAAAATAGTAATAATGCCCAATAAAAGACAAATTTTGAAAACAAAAAATGATGCATTATGCATACTCTACATTATTATATATTACCAAAGAGAATGTTGTCTGTGTGGATAAGATAGACACATCGATTGTGGAAGTGTGATTCGCCACACACATTCCTCCATTTTTTGGTTTATACTCTGGATTATGAATCGTAATTTCAGCTGATAAAGATTGTGACATTATCCTAAATGCTATGAGGTTAACCTGGTTATATGTCCATCGCTTAATAAAACCATTTGGTAGGAAGCCAACAAGAAATGTTGTAATTACAAGGTACAGTACCTAAGGATCTTTGGTATTAGTTGATTTGGAAATACAAAATTTATAGTTGCTATTTTAGCAAATAAGTAGCATACTTATGTTAATTCCAAGAAATATCTATTAATACAAGACAATCTTACAATAAAAGCAAGATCATCCTTATGTATGTATGTATGTATGTATGTATGTATGTATGTATGTATGTATGTATGTATGTATGTATGTATGTATGTATGTATGTATGTATGTATGTACACACACACACGCGCGCGCGCGCACGCACGCACATCCTACCAAGGCGTTTCAGTTTTTGTATACATCGTTCATTTAAAAAAAATCAGCGAACTTACCCCGACAAAGCAAATGATTATCCTCAAGGGAAGAAGAAAGCAATACCGCATTACAAATCCACATATCCATATGACTGTTAGCTTCCAAGAGATGAATTCGTAATGTGTATTTGTTCTCGTTAACAGGTTCCAGTTCTGAAAGATAAGTCATCGACTTTCGTCATACCAATCTTACGTAAAATTCCAAAGAATAAGAAAAAACAGAAAAAATAATATTACTTTGAGCTCTTCCGCTTCGAAACGAGACGTCACTTCATCTTCAATAATAGCCTCTACTCCGGCTTTGATGTAATCTAAACAAATTGCCGGTTTGAATTCCCTCTTTAGCGTCTCGAACGAATCTCTCCGGATGAGAGTCTAAAACAAACATGATCCTCAGTTCGTCGTATAAAAAGATCGGAAACAACAGAAATTACCTCGTTCTTACTCACAGCCCCCATTGACGATTGCTGTGAAGAAGAAGAAGAAGTCTCTGACTTCGTTTCCTCCATATGATTCTTCTGATTCTGCATCTCTGGCTCTGGCACCATAATCAGATCCTTCGATCTTGCTATCACGGTGTTACTCAACAACACTCCGCCGTTCTGCATTTTATTCTCAGTTTTCCAGTTCTGTTCATTCTGTTTCTCGACGTGCCGCGTCTGATAATCTTCGTCCGCATCCTCGTCATCTTGAATCCATGTACCGTTCCTTTTCTTCACGTACTCGATGTTTTGTCTGCCGTACTGAAACAAAAACCGGTGCGCACACACGCACGCGTTGTAATTATCTCTGTTTCGAACACGATTCTACGGAATCCATGGTACGCGCATAGTGTTCATGGAAAAGAGGGTTGAACGGTTGTTGGACGTAAATGGTAACAAGAAGAACACTAGCCTGTTCGGTCTAAATATAATTTACGAGAAATGAACAGTTGGAAACTGTGTGTGTTGGTAGGATAAACTACGAAGAGGATACTCTTCGTTGTTGGTAATAAAAAATTGGAGCTTCGACCGTGATCCCTTAATAGTTATAAAAAGGAGGACAATGCTTCTACTCCGCATGGGGTCGTCGAATGTATCGATTCGTGAGATTGATATTTTTGCGCGCCTCTGATGTTTATGCACCGCGTTTTATACTCGTTGCAAAAAGAAAGATGAGAAAAAAAAAAAGAGAGGTGACACCGAAAGAAATGTGAACGAAATAATAAGAATATTCACACAATCGGTTCCCGACTTTGAGACTCGCGCGTTGTATCATAAAAATGCAAATGTAAAATCATTGAAAAACATACACCTGAATTTTATTTGGTTATTCGCAAAATAATTATTCCTATCGATTATCTATTTTTAGTGTCCAATCTGCATACGAGGCGTTTCGAGTACCATAGGACTGGGCTAGATTCTTGGAAAACGATCGAAACAAATAATTTCATTTCCTACGTCGATTTACAACCTCCTCGATTGATATCGTTTTTGAAACGAACGATTGATCAACAATGTACAAATGTGAGAACACACCGGGAATCATCTCGGATCGGTAAGATTCGAGACGTTGCGAAATCACAAAAAGACGTGATCGCGTGTCATGCAGAAAATCGCATACGTATCTCCTCGTCGCAAGTCCATCAGAAAAAGAACGAGATATAATAGGGTAATTAAAAACTGGGTTAAATGTCATCTGGAAAAACTTTCAAGCGAAGAAACATTATTGCAAAATGCGTACTTTTTCGTTTTGTTTATCGAGCCACCTTGCTAATTACACAGAAGTTAATTGTTCCATTTTATCAAATATCGCATTAAGTTTGATAGAATCCTATCTACTGATACGCCTCGCAACTGCTCTATTTTTTTTCTACAAAACAAAAAGAAGAACAAAAGTATATACATATATATATATACATATATGTACACAATGAATGGAAATTTCATCAAGGACACTTGTAGACGAATTGAACGTCGATGTAGCGTATCTTTGATAAAGGAGACACGGTTATTATCATTCTCGTTAATAGTGGCTTAAAATTGTGGATCTCTCTCTCTCTCTCTCTGATAATTTTTCGGGAGAGAACATTTTTCAACGAGAGAACACGCGGGGATTTCGAAAGAAGCAGAGGTCCGATAAAAAAACACGCCTCGAGGCAGACACGTGTTTTATATTTCACCCGGGGTTTCATGAATTATTCGGCTTATCAAGGCATTATAATTGTCGATAACACCGATGAAAGTACAATCGATAAAGCGCCGTCAGTTTGACGAGGAGCAGATTCTTTGAACTTCACGCTAATCGATTCTTGAAATAGTCAAATGAGTTGTTGCCGCCGTCTGCCTTCCTTCCTAATTCCTGCACTCCTTCCGCTCGTTTCATTCTTTTTCTCTCTTTTTTCTCCGCTTCATTTCTCTGAATATTTTTTCCGTTCGTTTCAGATTAACGTTACCGTTAATGCAGGCTACACGGTTAACCTTTGCACCGTCGTTGCTCGTGGTGGAATATACAGACGCGTTTTAAATTAACACGAGTCGAACTTTCGTGACTCGATCACGTCGAAAATGTGTGATCGGGACGAAAAGTTGACCAATTCGAAGGCCTCTTACTCAACCTTTCGCATTCCAATTGTATATCTACTGTGCGTGTTCCGTTATCGACATCATTATCGTCCTAGAGAACCGCACTTCATACTCTTAGGTATTCCGTGATTTCGTAAAATCATCGTGTACTCTTTCAATGGTCAAAGGTTTCAACGAGAGGCAGGAAGATAGACGAATGAATGCTCCCTGCTTGTCCGTCACGTGAAACCTCCTTTCGCGTAATCTGCGCGAAATTACTCGAAAGAAAGAAAAAAAAAAGAGAGAAAAATAGGAGGGAACATCTTTTGTTCCGCTTCGAGATCAACGAGATTGTATGTTTTGCAACGCTTCAGAAAAAAATCGATCGTGCGATGCATTTTCCGTTTGAGAATAATCGCTATTTTTCTCGTTAAGTAGAGACTGGAAGAATGTTTTTTTCTTTTCTTTTTCCAATGTGGAACATTCTGTGGATGGTTATGTGAGTTTTGAATCAAGCGTGACGTGCAACTTCCGATAGGTTAGAATTAGATCTACAAATTGATTTGAAGATTAGTAAACGAACAAGAGAGAGAGAGTAGGATGTTAGTCATTTTCGAGTTATTTATACAGATGAATTGTTTTTTAATTACCCAGTCACCTGATAAGCCGTTCACGAACACGTGGAAAATACACGACACTCCCAGAAACACAATCTCAGCATATGCAGACGTCTCGCGTGCCCGGCGCGTGAAAGCGTGCGTAGTCACAGATTTGTCTTTTCTACAAACAAAAGGAAATCCCCGTATTATCGTGGCTATACGACATGAAGTGAACGACCTCCTTTTATACTAGACATATCAGTTCGTTGTCGACGAAAAATTATATACCACCGATCAATTATCTTCATCTTAACGGAAGTTGAATGACCGATTTGTATCATATCTCGTTGGTAAATGACTTATCCATAATAAATTCGGGGTTATGTACACAAACATACATCTGATCTCGACTACTCTGAAGTTAGCTTAATTTCTAACGAAGAACTTTACACCACCGATAGTTTATTGATCCGTGTTGAAGTGGCGATGACTTCTCTGATCGAGTGCTAATTGATTAAATAATTCTGCTAATCCAATGATAATTACGAATAGGTCAAGATAACATGGAAAAGTGACTGGAAGAAGGATGTAAATTGAAAACGGGTTTGTCTAATGACTATTGGTTATCGATAACTGAACAACGAGATCGAGATTATGAACTACGATAGGTATCATAGAAAAGAAAAAAAATAAAAAGAAAGAAGGTAGTTGTGCGGATGTCCGAGTTTAAATGATCGAACCGTTGGCAACTTCTGATGAATTTATATAGAACTGGGGCATCGATTTGTGCAGTTTCAGAATTGACAGAAATTCTCCTCTGTACAATTCGGTCGAGAATAATTGCATTGTCTTAAGTCGGTAAATCAGTCGGTGAGCGCGTGTGTATGCGATTACGAGCACAACGGAAACGTTTTTTCAATAACACTCTTGATCATTAGTTTCGAACAAACGCCCCCAATTAATTAAACACGACTCTACGAATGTTTTAAGTCTAAATTTCTATTTTCGTACACCTGGCTCTGTTGATATTATACGGATATGATTAATATTCGAATCATGCCGAAGAAACTGCGAGAAAGTCGAGTTACGAAGTCTCTAGAACGATCGTAATGTGTTATACGTAACGTAAAAAAAAACAATATTTTGTCGTGAGGTTTTCGTTTGAAGAGCCAGTGTACACAACATCCATAAAAAGCCGTGCACGAGGCATGACTTTTCGTATACGATCACACGAATCACCGGAGACCTAGGACTTCACTGTTTAACGGCTTTAAATCGATACGAACTCGTTACGTGCGATGCAACATCGTGGCAGGTTCGCCAAAGTACACTTAAATTAATCCCAATTTAATATTTCACCATACACACCACACTATCTGCGAACACCGACGTTGTAGTTTAGTTAGGTGAGTGAAATAAGCTCGAGGAAACCGTGTTATGGATGCAAATGCGAACTAGACGCATGGTTAAAATATTTTAAAATTTCGATTTCGTTCGACTGAACATCGCGATTCGATAATCGAACTGGGGCTTATTGAAAACAAACAAGATGGATTGGCGCACTTTTATCGAGTTCCACGATCGTATTTTACCGTAAAAGCTACAATGAGTAATAAAGAATGCTTTAAAAATAGATTGTTTAAAAGGAGTTATTTATTTGGTAATAATGTGGCTAGTTAGCTTTTTTAATTACTTAGCGACGATATGAAACCTGTTTTAAACACGTAAGTGCAAATGAATGCAACATAGTTATAGTAACTGTATAGAATGTAACATCAAAGAGTTCATCTCACGAAAGTGACGTTTACGCTCATTGTTAAACCAACGTGGTGTCTGAATGCAATTGTAGAGCGTTACGCTTTGTACAAGTGTGTCTCGTTAACTCTGAATCGTAGACGCATTAAAATTAGTTGGAAAAGTCGCAAAAGTGTTTATTTAGCATTTCAAATTAAATATCGAATGACTGTGACTTGTTGAATGTTAATTAGATATTATACAAAGTACGCATGGTCCATGTATAATGACATTTTATTCACCAGCGTGTTAAAATGTAATTGACGATAAAACATCATTAATGATAAATAAACATGATTCTTAGAAACATCTAACTTGAAAACAGACATGTTTTAACACCCAGATTAAACTAAGCACGTAAATCAAAATAAGCGGTCCAAATTCAAATGTCTGCCTTGAATTTCATTAAAAATTTCTATATTTGTTGAAAAGATATTTTTACATATAACACGTGTTTTCTTCTAGACGTCTCGTTGAGAAATGGACAAAAAAATTGATATAACCTTTAAAATCTTATCGATGATAGTATACTTTCAATTCGAAACCTTACCAACCGGATAAGCATTATGGATTCAATTCACGATTTTTAAATTATTTGGAATAACATACTAAGTGAAGTTTATAATTATGAATTTTTGTTGTCTTACCTCAAAAAGTGCTAGTAGTAATTTTATATATAACCTTCTAACGCCGAATGACTTTCCGATGGATGCAAGGAAGATTATGGCAAGCAGAAACATAAGAAAAGGTGTTAAAAATAAAGATATCGCCAAAGACATCACCATCCACAACGACGCCATTTTACTTACTGCCGAGAGTCAGCCGAGAAAGCTAAAAACGATCCCTCGCTCAAAACCTATGAACATGAATATTGTAGAAAGGTATCGAAGATTGAGAATTTACTGCCATCTCTAGAGAACTAAGAGAAGAAAGAAACATGATGTTATTACACTTTACGAATTGTATGAGATCACTCTACTACACCATCATAGCGGGCACTGTAAATTTTAGTATTTTAATTTAAAAATAGAAATAATCGAAATGAACACTACATAATCGCAAATAACTCGAATGGAATTGTGTAATTTACAATTTCAATGTAAGAAACTTGGATGCAACCATAATGAAATTTTCTACTTCTTACTTTCGATTAGATTTAACTCATCCATTAATTCTGTTAATTTTGTTTAAATCACTAGGATGACCGTAATATATGTTTTATCTTCAGTCGCATTTTTACCATTGTGAACCAAATTTTTATCGATAATATTCTACGTTACAAATTTCAATTTTCACGCATGACCACTATTTTCGAATATTATTGCGGTTATGAATAACTTTAGATGAATTATTTGTAGAGTATTTTATCGTGTACGTATTTCTTCTGTGTTACAATGCTATATGAAAATAAAAGTAACAACAAAAAGAGTCTGTTTTACATCTTTTAGCTTTTAAAGCTTTTTGTGAATGATAAGTTATGTTATTTATATTAAGTAATATTGAGTATGATAAAATCTATATATTTTTATTCTGATGTGATAAAATATTACAGTAACTGTTAGAATAATAATAGCTATCGTCACGGTGATATTTGAAAAATGCGGGAAAATGCTTCAAACGCCAGTTCGAACAAGAATCATAGCCGAATCATATTCTTATTCCCTAGTACACTGGCAAAATGTCGTCCGTCGAAGCAGGTCCACGACCCGTGCAAGTATCTCCTTTAATTAGAGTAAGTTTCATTTGTTACATTGAATCTGAAATAAGTTGATTTCAAATGTCATAGTTACATTACAATCCTATGAGGAACATATCGTAATGATTTTCTTTTGTCAAAACAATGAATATGCTTTAGAGCAAGTGCTTTTAATTTGATTATATTACATAATTTTTATGGATTTTAAAGACATGAATTTTATTAAGATTTGTAAAAGTCAATGTAAAAAGTATTATTTCCTACATGTCCTATTATAGTAGAACGAAAATTAAATTATAAATTTTGTTAAATAAATAAAATAAGTGTAAATTGAATAGTACTCATATATTAATAAGATATGTAAAAGATGAAAAGCATTGATTTGATATTTTTACATTGAATTTCGTATAGTTTAGTCGATGGAGTTTTCTGCTAGTTGGAGTTCTTTATGGATCTTACCGTCAGGTAAAATTAAGTAAAAAGGAGAATGCTCGTCGTGAACAAGAACTTCGAGAGAAACCCATAAGAGATGCTGATTTGTGATATCAACAATATATACTATAATGAGGATCCTAAATGATCTTAATATGTAATAACCTGTATTGAATACAATCTTGAATTATAATTATTCTTTGTCTGTTACAGAGGAATTAAAAATGTTGTCTGAGGTTTTAAACCTTGATATGAAATAAATTAAAAGTATCATCATTTGATTAGTATACATGTGTATTTCTATTAATTTAATATCCAAATTTTTTTTAATAAAATTTATTATGCCAATTTCTGTATAGATCTACAATAAATATTGAATTTTTGTTGTATACATGTTGAATAAAATGACTTCTGTTATATCAAATGGTAATTATTTTAATGTTATATTTAAGGTCTTATGATACTTATCTTTGTACATAAAATAAAAGTTTTATTACATTTTAATACGTACTATACTGCGTTGCATTTTGGATGTTGTTTTACATTTTATTTAAAACAAAAAAATATTCGCCCGAACAGGGACTCGAACCCTGGACCCTCAGATTAAAAGTCTGATGCTCTACCGATTGAGCTATCCAGGCAATTAAAAGAGAATATTGTAAAATATAAAATTACTCTTACATAATTGTTAACGAATATATAAACATTAAATACAATTAAACAAAATATCTAGGAGTTTAAAAAATCTTTTATAGTGATGATTACAATAATTTCTTATTTATTAAATCGAATGCATCTGATAATTTTAGTTCTTAGAAACTAAATTTAATAGGTACATATAGGTATGTGGTATATAGCACTTTTAATAAAAACTACAAGTACATTATATACTTTACTTTATTTCATTGCATTTTTTAACATCAGTGACTGTTAACAATATTATCATTTTTATTTGTAACAGATAAAACTGTAGAACGTACATTCATATAAAAATAAACATTAAAAACATTACAAAACACGTTAGAATCTTTTCTTAAAAATAATTTCATTCAATTACGTATTTTCATTATTTTACTGTATTACAGTGGAATGAACAGAGCACCTGTCTTTACAGCATAAAAATATTCTTATATATACATAAATACATCTTAATATTCTTTTTTGAAATGCAATAAAATTAAATGATTAGGGAGGCAACATTGGATATGAAACATTAATAATAGATACACATATTGTCATGGAAGCACCCAAATGCTCTTGGTCCAAACATATAACTTTTTCTTTTTTTAAGCTGAAACTAATTCTGTTTTATTATCATTGGTAATCAGCTGAAGAAGACTGCCATTTGCTGGACGTTCTTGTTTTTGTGACCACTTCCAAAAGAGACTGTTAAATAAAGTGCTGTTAGTATACAAAAAGACACAATAATATTGCAAAATAAAAAGGAGATCTTTATTTACTCTGCAACATATTCAAGTGGAGTCCACTTAGATGTATCAGCTTTAGGCATCCATTTCCTATTCATAGGAGTGTCCAAAGTAATGGGTAAGATAGAAGTAACTAATGCATTCTCTGGGAGCCCACTATCTTTAGCAGCTAAAGATTTGGTAAGCTGATGAACTGCAGCTTTAGCCATTCCATATCCAATCATCCCTGATGTTCCTTCTAATGCTGCTTTGGCACCAGTTAATGATAAAAATCCTCCTTCTTTCAGGTGATGTGCAGCAATGCTAGCTGCAATAGTTGAACTCCAAACACTTTGCTTATACATAAGTTCAGTGTTTTTAATAAAATCTTTTTGAGCAGCATTTCCACCAGCCCATCCTCCAGCTACACAAATAACTGCATCTACTTTATCACCTTTTAAAATACTTGTAATCTGTTGTAAAATATCCTTCTCCTAGTAAACAGATAATAATGCCTAGTTATGTACATATACATTTTTACTTATTCTATTATAAGAACTTATAAAACTACCTGTTCTTGCCAGTTGTTGTCAGGTTTTACAATCACATTTGCATCAGCTTCCTCGTTTGCCTTCATATCAATACAGCCAACCCACTGTGATTATAAAGGAA